TCCCCAACGACAAGTACCAGGTGGAGACCATGGTGCTGCTGCTGCAGAGGTTCGGGTGGACCTGGATCTCTCTGGTTGGCAGCAGTGGCGACTATGGGCAGCTAGGGGTGCAGGCACTGGAGAAGCAGGCCACTGATCAGGGGATCTGCATTGCTTTCAAGGACATCGTGCCCTTCTCTGCCCAGGTAGGCGATCAGAGGATGCAGCGCCTGATGCGCCACCTGGCCCAGGCCACGGCCACCGTTGTGGTCGTTTTTTCCAACCGGCCGTTGGCCAGGGTGTTTTTCGAGTCCGTGGTGCTGGCCAACCTGACTGGCAAGGTGTGGGTCGCCTCAGAGGCCTGGGTCCTCTCCAGGCACATCACTGGGGTGCCCGGGATCCAGCGCATTGGGACGGTGCTGGGCGTGGCCATCCAGAAGAGGACTGTCCCTGGCCTGAAGGCATTTGAAGAAGCCTATGTCCGGGCAGACAAGGGAGCCCCTAGGCCTTGCCACAAGAGCTCCTGCTGCAGCAGCAATCAGGTCTGCAGAGAATGTGAAGCTTTCACGGCACACACGATGCCCAAGCTCAAAGGCTTCTCCATGAGTTCTGCCTACAACGCGTACCGGGCTGTGTATGCAGTGGCCCATGGCCTCCACCAGCTCCTGGGCTGTGCCTCTGGAGTTTGTTCCAGGGGCCGAGTCTACCCCTGGCAGGTAAGAGAGCCCACCCCAGCACCTTCTGTTGGAGAGAACAGCCAATCCTGAGACGAGCAGAGTGGGCACTCTCTGGTCACCCTAAATGCCAAGGGTGATAAATGCGACTAACTTATGGACTGTTTTTTTTTGAGACAGAATCTGGCTCTGTTGCCCAGGCTGCAGTGCAGTGATGCGATCTCAGCTCACTGAAACTTCCACCTTCTGGGTTCAAGTGATTCTCCTGCCTCGGCCTCCTGAGTAGCTGGGATTACAAGCACCCACCATCACGCCTCGCTAATTTTTCTTTTTTTTTTTTGAGACGGAGTCTCGCTCTGTTGCCCAGGCTGGAATGCAGTGGCGCGATCTCGGCTCACTGCAAGCTCTGCCTCCCAGGTTCACACCATTCTCCTGCCTCAGCCTCCCGAGTAGCTGGGACTACAGGCGCCTGCCAGGACGCCTGGCTAATGTTTTTGTGTTTTTAGTAGAGACGGGGTTTCACCATGATAGCTAGGATGGTCTCGATCTCCTGACCTCGTGATCTGCCTGTCTCGGCCTCCCAAAGTGCTGGGATTACAGGCGTGAACCACTGTGCCCGGCCTCATTTTTTAGTAGAGATGGGGTTTCACCACGTTGGCCAAGCTGGTCTCGAACTCCTGGCATCAAGTGATCCTCCTGCTTCAGCCTCCCAAAATGCTGGGATTACAGGCGTGAGCTCTCTTCTCTTAGACAGATCTTTCTCTCTGATCCTTACCTTCTCTCACCCACTGTGTCTTGGAAGTGTCAAGTGACAAGGTCCAGGGCTAAAACTGTCTGTAAAGGAGCCTTTGTTAGAGGCCTCCTCTCAGGAGGTTGGTGGGGAGGGTTGAGGGGCTTCCTAAGAAGGAAGGGACTATACCTTCCCGATGGGCTGAAACCACCAGGATGGAAACCCAGGAAGCCCCCAGGCCCTTGCTTCTGGGACCATGTAGGTCTGTGCTGTCTATGGTGGCTTTGTGATATGTGTTTCTTTCAGCTTTTGGAGCAGATCCACAAGGTGAATTTCCTTCTACACAAGGACACTGTGATGTTTAATGACAATGGAGACCCCCTCAGTAGCTATAACATAATTGCCTGGGACTGGAGTGGGCCGAAGTGGACCTTCACAGTCCTCGGTTCCTCCACATGGTCTCCAGTTCAGCTAGACATAAATGAGACCAAAATCCAGTGGCATGGAAAGGACAACCAGGTAATGGGGATGTGGTCATTCACCAGGTAACTGCCTTATGGGCAGCCTAGAGTCTGGGGGTGATGCTGACACAGTGTACAGGGAGCAGGAGGGGGACCCCAGGGATCCAGCTGCCACCACTCTACCCATCCTGGCCAGGGAAGCAGGGAAGACATTCCATAGGCGAGTGTGCAGATGCCCTGGGGTGGAAGTTCACATGACCAGGGGGTCCTGCCCTGGGAGTGAGCCGTGAGGGCAGATGCACAGAGATTCTGTTTTCTGTTCCACGTGTGAGCTGTCCTTTGACTTGGGCCCCTATGTGTGGCCCCTCTGGCTTCTTACAGGTGCCTAAGTCTGTGTGTTCCAGTGACTGTCTTGAAGGGCACCAGCGAGTGGTTACAGGTTTCCATCCCTGTTGCTTTGAGTGTGTGCCCTGTGGGGCTGGGACCTTCCTTAACAAGAGTGGTGAGTGGGCAATGGAGCAGGCGAGCTACCCAGCAGTCCCGGGGGCTGCACGGTGGAGGAAGGCCTCCCTTGGTCCCCATGTGCACATGCCCTGCCTCCGAACCAGGGCCCAGTCACTTGGCTGCCAGTTAGCTTCAGGTTGGAGGACTCCTGCTACCAGACAGAATTCTGATAAAGAGAATCAGCCACTGGGTGCAGTGGCTCATGCCTGTAACCCCAGCACTTTGGGAGGCCAAGGCGGGAGGATCACCTGAGGATCAGGAGTTCGAGACCCGCCTAAGCAACATAGTGAAACCCCATCTCTATTAAAAATACAAAAAAAATTAGCTGGGCGTTGTGGCGTGTGCCTGTAATCCGAGCTATTCGGGAAGATGAGGCAGGAGAATCTCTCGAACCCGGGAGGCAGAGGTTGTGGTGAGCTGAGATTGCACCATTGCACTCCAGCCTGGGCAGCAAAAGCAAAACTCCATCCGAAAAAAAAAAAAAGAAAAAGAAAAAGAAAGAATCAGCCAACTGAAATCCTTAGACTGAGGTGTGTCCTCTATTAGACAGCTGTCATCACAACTCCTACAAATGCAATCGTATCCTGAATTCAACCTCTTTCTCTAAATGAATGTAGCTATTGTTCCCTTTGTGCCCTCTTGTCCTACTGTCCCTTCTGTTGCCCATGCCAAAGACAGCTAGCTCCTTGAACAGCTTGGCCTGAATACAGATACTAGCATGTCTGCAACAGAGAAAAAAAAACAGCATTCCCCATCCAGCAATGCAAGATCAAGAACAGAGAGCAAATTAAATAGCTAAGGACTCATGTCCTTCGTTGGTGTCCAGGGGCCACATTCTTTCCTTTCACCATCTCTGTAGGGACAGGAATACTTCCCTTCTGTCCTCAGAGGGTCAGGACTCAGAGAAACCACAGAGCAGCAGCTAAGGAAAATGGTTCATGGAAATGCTGGAGAGAGAGAGGGGTTAAAATGCCCTCCCTTGGGAGCAGGCTGCTCCCATTGGATCGTAGCCTCTCTGTTATGTGGGCAGAGCTACCGGGGTAAGGTCCTCCCTAGGGTTTGCAAAACCCTCATGGGATCATGAGCCATATAGAACTGACCTGTGGGTCTCCAGTGTGTAATTAACACAGGCATTTTGAGGAAATGCTTGGCCTCAGGCCCCACTCCCGGCTACCCCCATCCCACCATGCCTAGCACAGTCTAGCTGCCTGGGTACAATTCTCCCAGTATCTTGCAGGCCCCTATTTCCTATTCCTACTCTGCTCATCTGGCTCTCAGGAACCTTCTTGGCTTCCCTTTCAGACCTCTACAGATGCCAGCCTTGTGGGAAAGAAGAGTGGGCACCTGAGGGAAGCCAGACCTGCTTCCCGCGCACTGTGGTGTTTTTGGCTTGTCAAGAGCACACCTCTTGGGTGCTGCTGGCAGCTAACACGCTGCTGCTGCTGTTGCTGCTTGGGACTGCTGGCCTGTTTGCCTGGCACCTAGACACCCCTGTGGTGAGGTCAGCAGGGGGCCGCCTGTGCTTTCTTATGCTGGGCTCCCTGGCAGCAGGTAGCGGCAGCCTCTATGGCTTCTTTGGGGAGCCCACGAGGCCTGCATGCTTGCTGCGTCAGGCCCTCTTTGCCCTTGGTTTCACCATCTTCCTGTCCTGCCTGACAGTTCGCTCTTTCCAACTAATCATCATCTTCAAGTTTTCCACCAAGGCACCTACCTTCTACCGCGCCTGGGTCCAAAACCATGGTGCTGGCCTGTTTGTGATGATCAGCTCAGCGGCTCAGCTGCTTATCTGTCTAACTTGGCTGGTGGTGTGGACTCCACTGCCCACTAGGGAATACCAGCGCTTCCCCCATCTGGTGATGCTTGAGTGCACAGAGGCCAACTCCCTGGGCTTCATACTGGCCTTTCTCTACAATGGCCTTCTCTCCATCAGTGCCTTTGCCTGCAGCTACCTGGGCAAGGACTTGCCAGAGAACTACAACGAGGCCAAATGTGTCACCTTCAGCCTGCTCTTCAACTTCATGTCCTGGATCGCCTTCTTCACCACGGCTAGCGTCTACGACGGCAAGTATCTGCCCGCGGTCAACATGCTGGCTGGGCTGAGCAGCCTGAGCAGCGGCTTCGGCGGGTATTTTCTGCCCAAGTGCTACGTGATCCTCTGCCGCCCAGACCTCAACAGCACAGAGCACTTCCAGGCCTCCATTCAGGACTACACGAGGCACCGCGGCTCCACCTGACCAGTGGGGTCAGCAGGCATAGCTGGTAGCTTTCTCTGTCCTGAGGGTCGAAGGTCAAGCAGGCCAGGGCTGTTTGGGAGGCCTTTGGGCACCTCAGTCTGGGGTTGGGACGTGTAAGCGCCCGGGAGAGCCCAGACCAGGCTCCGGGCTGCCAATAAAGAAGTGAAATGCGTATCTGGTCTCCTGTCGGGGAAGAGGGTGAGGTGCCGCGGATTCAAGTCTGAACCCAGAACCTGGAAAAGCCTTGGTGCCCAGCTTGACGTTGCTAGGCAACCCCGGAGGCGGGCCCAGCGCCAAAAGAACAGGGCGTGGCCTCATCCCGTCATCCCATTGGCCATTCTCTGCGGGGCCCCGCCCTCGGGTGCCGGAGCTAGAAGATCTACGCTTCCGAGGCGCCCCTCCTGGCCGGCACGCTCTGACGTCACGTCCGGCGCGGAGACGGCTAGTCTCCGTACGGTCGGCGGGGCACGCATAGCCGGGCAGTTGGTTCGTGGGCTGTGGAGGCGACGGAGCCGGGGGCTGGTGGGGCCGGCTCAGGGAGGACCTGCCTGGGTGAGGAGGGCACGAGGTGAGGGAGGGAGGGGCTGCGGGCCGCCGTGGCTGCCTTCCGCTCGGCCGCTCGGGACCTGTGGGCGCGGCGTGGGCTCCGCTCACCTGTCCGCGGCCGCCGTCCTCCCCAGTCCAGGATCCTCTCACTGTGCCAGGCCAGTCAGTTCGCGCTCATCCCGTGCCTTCTTTCCCCAAACTTGGATTTTTCCCACCAGGCCCTTCTTCATGACCCTGACCCCCCCATCAGCATCCCCCCTGGCCAATCCAATATGGCCCCCGGTCCCCGGGAGGCTGTCAAGTGTGTTCCTGCCCTCCGCGTGCACCCCTCACCTTGACCCAAGCCCTCGTGCTGATAAATGTGATTATTTGAGTGGAGGCCAACTTCCCCTTTCTCTCTCTTCGACTCCAGGGGCTTTCTCTTGCATACGCTCGCTTGGGCTGGCCAGGGTGTCACTTCTGCCTCCCTGCCCTCCAGATCATGGACGGCTCCTTCGTCCAGCACAGTGTGAGGGTTCTGCAGGAGCTCAACAAGCAGCGGGAGAAGGGCCAGTACTGCGACGCCACTCTGGACGTTGGGGGCCTGGTGTTTAAGGCGCACTGGAGTGTCCTTGCCTGCTGCAGCCACTTCTTCCAGAGCCTCTACGGGGATGGCTCAGGAGGTAGTGTCGTCCTCCCTGCTGGCTTCGCTGAGATCTTTGGCCTCTTGTTGGACTTTTTCTACACTGGTCACCTCGCTCTCACCTCAGGGAACCGGGATCAGGTGCTCCTGGCAGCCAGGGAGTTGCGAGTGCCAGAGGCCGTAGAGCTGTGCCAGAGCTTCAAGCCCAAAACTTCAGTGGGACAGGCAGCAGGTGGCCAGAGTGGGCTGGGGCCCCCTGCCTCCCAGAATGTGAACAGCCTTCTCAAGGAGCCGGCAGGCTTGCAAGAAGAGGAAGTTTCGAGGACTCTGGGTCTAGTCCCCAGAGATCAGGAGCCCAGAGGCAGTCATAGTCCTCAGAGGCCCCAGCTTCATTCCCCAGCTCAGAGAGAGAGCCCCTCCTCCCTCTGTGGGAAACTCAAGCAGGCCTTGAAGCCTTGTTCCCCCGAGGACAAGGAACCTGAGGACTGCAAAGTGCCTCCAAGGCCCTTCGAGGCTGAAGGTGGCCAGCTGCAGGGCGGGAGTAATGAGGTACTGTGCCCAGGGTGCTGGGACTGGGGAGACAAATGGAGGGAATAGACACTTTTTTTGGTATAATAGGGACCCGGGGCTGGGTGTGATGGCTCATTCACGTGAGTGGTTCAAGTGGAGGACGACAGGGATGGACGAAGTCTATTTGTAATCCTAGCACTTTGGGAGGCCAGGATGGGTGTGGATCACTTGAGCTTGGGAGTTCGAGACCAGCTTGGGCAACATGGCGAGGCCTCATCTGTACAAAGAAAATACAAAAATTAGCCGAGTGTGGTGGCACACACCTGTAATCCTAGCTACTTGGGAGGGTGAGGTGGGAGGATCACTTGAGCCCAGGAAGTGGAGGTTGCAATGAGCTGAGATGGTGCCACTACGCTGTAGCCTAGGCGACAGAGCAAGACCCTGTCTCAAAAAAAAAAAAAAAAAGTGGACCTTAAGACAATCTCTGTTAATGTGGGTTTGGAACGGGCTTTCTCCAAACAAAGGAAGCTGGTGATCTCAGGCTGACCTTTCTGCAAGCCCCAGCTATTCATGGTTGCCACCTTCCTGAGAGGAGTGGGCAGCATCAGGGTTACAGGTGTTTCCCCAGGATAGTGTTCCATCCGAGCTTCCAGTTCCCCACAAACAGTCACTTTCCTCTGAATCCAAGACTCAGATGCTCTGCCTTGGGCCCCTGAAGGAACAGTGTCTGATGAAGGGACTTGTCAGGGTTGGGGCTTGGGATGGAACTGGAGCTGGGTCCCTACAACTCCTGCTGATTCATTTGGTGACCCCACCCCCTCCTGCTGCCTATTGTGCTCTAGTGGGAAGTGGTGGTTCAAGTGGAGGACGACGGGGATGGTGATTACATGTCTGAGCCTGAGGCTGTGCTGACCAGGAGGAAGTCAAATGTAATCCGAAAGGCCTGTGCAGCTGAGCCAGCCCTGAGTGTGGGCTCCCTAGCAGCTGAGCCTGCTGAGAACAGAAAAGGTACAGCGGTGCCGGTCGAATGCCCCACATGTCATAAAAAGTTCCTCAGCAAATATTATCTAAAAGTTCACAACAGGTAAACTTTCTGTTTTTCTATTTTCCTGTCTGCCATTCCCGCGTTGGGGGAGGGGTCTTGCACGTCCCACTTCTGGGTGAGGTAGGGGGTGGGTGATCCATCTCAGACCCACATAGTGCCTGGCCTTGGCACACCTCTGGCAATCAGGAAGTGAGAGTCTGCTTTGGGTTAGATTCTTCTTCCTCACTGCCCTGTGAGTACTGTGGCTTGGAGATGGGTTTTTGTGGACATCTTGTCAACAGTCAGTTCACCCACCTTGTGGAGCTTGACCTTCCAGCTGGCCTCTGCGGACAGAATGAGAAACCTTGTGGCCCGTGTGCCTAGAAGCCTGAGGCCCAACCCTTAGGTGCTTTCTGAAAGCCCGGCAGTGTGGGCTGGAAGCCTGGCAGTGTGGGCTTTGGGCGCACAAATGCTGAGCCGTGGGTCAGTGCCTACCTGTGTTTCGCAGGGAAGTGTTCACTCTGGGGTGTCAGTGGAGTATTAAAAGTCCAGTTGTCTAAAACCCTTCAGTGTCCAGTAAAAGTAACCCCAGGAACTCCAGGGGCTTTTAAAATTTTTAATTCTTTAAAACCATTGTGGAAGACAGGTTTTGCCCTATGTGCCGAAAAAGCAATAACGAAACCAAGGCAAAATAAAAACAAGAAAAAAACAGCGGCTGGTTCCCCCCAGACTCCTGGCCCAGCGATCACGCCACGCTGGGCCCTCCCCAAAGTGCTAGAATTAAGGCCTTTGAGCCCACCAATCGGCAGCAGCCCCAGGGGCCTATTTATTTTTTTTTTATCTTTTTTTTTTTTGAGACCGGAGTCTCATCTGTGTCCGCCCAAGCACAGCGTTAGTGCAAGCTTGGCCGGATCTCAGTCACTGCAATGCTCCGCCTCCCCCAGGTTTTACGGCAATTCCTCCTGCCTCCCAGGCCTCCCGAGTGCTGGGAACTTACAGGCGCCCGCAACCACGCCCCGCCCATAGTTTTGTATTGTTTTTAGTAGACGAAGGGGTTTCACCCGTGTTACCACAATGGTCCTTGATCTCCGACCCGTGTACGCGCCGTCCCTGCGGCCTCCCAAAATGCTGGATTACAGGCTTGAGCGACCGCAGGCGCCGGCCCCTTTCATGTTTTTGAGTTGGAGTTCCTTGCTCCTGTCCAGCCAGCATTAGAGTGCAGTGCAGCGATCTCCAGCTCACCTGCAACGTCTGCACTTCTGGTCGGCCGATTCCCTGGCTCAGCCTCCCCAAAAAGTAGCTGGCGATTACAAGCGATGCGCACCCACCACCGGCTATTTTTTGTAAATTTAAGTGGAGACGGGGTTGTTCACCATGTTGGCCAAAGATGGTCTCGGATCTCTGACGCTTCGATCTCGCCCGCCTCGCCCTCCCAAAGTGTTGGGGACTTACAGGTTGTGAGCCACCATGCTCCGCGTATCGTTTATTTTATTTTTATTTTATTTTACTTTATTTATTTATTTTATTTTTTTTTTTTGAGACCAGAGTCTCGCTCTTTTGTCGCCGGCAGGCTGGAGTGCAGTTGCCGGATCTCAGCCTCCAACCCTGGCCACTCCGCCTCCGGTTCCCGGCCAATTCCTGCCAGCTGCTCCGAGTTAGCTGGAACAGGCGCCCCGCCACCCCCTCCGCCGGCTAAGTTTTGTATTTTTGAGTAGAACCTGATGGGGTTCACCTGGGTAGCCAGGAAATGGTCTCGATCCTCCTGACCTTCGTGTGCCACCCGTCTCCGGCTCCAAAGCTGGCTGGGATTACAGCATTTGAGCCCACCGCCCCAGGCTACATTTATTTTTTTTTCAGACCGGAGTCATCACTCTGTGCCCCAGGCTGGAGTGCAGTGCCATGATATTGGCTCACTGCAACCTCCACCTCCCAGGTTCAAGCGATTCTTCTGCCTCAGCCTCCCGAGTAGCTAGGATTACAGGTGCCCGCCACCACGCCCAGCTAATTTTTGTATTTTTAGTAGAGATGAGGTTTCACCATCTTGACCAGGCTGGTATTAAACTCCTGACCTCGTGATCCACCTGCCTTGGCCTCCCAAAGTGCTGGGACTCACGGAGTCTCTCCTCTCCACTCACCCAGGCTGGAGTGCAGTGGCTCCATCTCTGCTCACTACAACCTCTGCCTCCCAGGTTCAAGCAATTTTCCTTTCTCAGCTTCCTGAGAAGCTGGGATTACAGGCGTGTGCCACCACACCCGGCTAATTTTTTTTGTATTTTTAGCAGAGACGGGGTTTCAGCATGGTGGTCAGGCTGGTCTTGAACTCCTGACCTCATGATCCGCCTGCCTCAGCCTCCCAAAGTGCTGGGATTACAGGTGTGAGCCACTGCGCCCGGCCATTTTTTACTCTTTAGTAGAGACGGGTTTCACCATATTGGCCAGGCTGATCTCAACCTCCTGACCTTGCGATCCACCTGCCTCGGCCTCCCAAAAGTGCTGAGATTACAGGTGTGAGCCACTGTGCCCAGCCCCCAGGGGCTATTTTAACTTAGAATTTTAAATTAAATAAAAATTCAGTTCCTCAGATATGTTAGCCAAATCTGAAGTGGTGAGGAACCACGTGGCTCCTGGTGGCTGAATCGGGCAGTGCTGACATAGCACATTTCCATCATCTTGGAGAGGCCCCTTGGGCAGCACTGTTCTGGAGTCCCTTCAAGCCCTGTGGGAATGGTGGCCCAGTGACATGCCTTCCAATCCTGCCACTCCCAGCCAAGACATCACTAGTCTGTCATGGTGTGTTTTTTTGCCAAGCCAGGTAGGGCGGCACACTAGTAATCACCTGGTATGGGAGCAGGGGAAATCTATTTGCTGTCCCTGTGCACCGTGTTTGGGGCAGCTGCTGCCAGTGGAATGCTGGGATGACTCCAGTGTCGGGGGGTCCTGGGGCAGCCTGTGTGCTGCTGGATGCTCGCTCTCAAGTGCCTTGCTGGGGTAAGACTGGGGTGGTTTCCATCCCTTCCTTGGGCTTCAGCTTGCTGGGCTGGCCCTGAGAACTGGGAGGGGATGGCTTCATGAAGTCATTTTGATGGGGGATGAAGATAGTTGCTGTGGAGGAACAGGATGAGAGAGATGCTTGGCCTCTGGCAGGTGGGAGGGGCTGTCGCAGGCTGCACAGGGACTCCGAGGTCGAGTTCATTTAGTTCATTCAACAGTCTACCAGGTGGCCAGCAAGGCTGTGTGGGTGCTTGGGATGCATTTAAGGGAACTAAATAAAGGTCCTTATGCAGCCGACCTGCTTGCCGGGCAATGCAGGTAACAGATAAGTTCATCTGTCTGCAGTAGATGGTGAGGAAGTGCTGCGGAAAAAAAAAAAAGCAGAGGTGGGCCAAGGGGTTGGCGAGTTGTGGGTTGGGTTCGATTGTGATTTTAAGTAGCCAGGGTCTCGGGAGTCTTACTCAGAAGGTGAGATTTAAGCAGAGACTCAAAGGAGGCAAAGAAGTTGACCAAGTGGGTGACTGGGGAGCATCTGGGTGGAGGGAAGAGCCAGGGCGCCGGGGTAGGAGGATCCTGGGGGCGTGACAGGCAGCAAGGAGGCACATGCCTGACCCAGGTGGCCAGATGACACCCTGGGAGAGAAGCAGGCAAGGGGAGGGCTGCCTCTGCCCTGAGGGGCCTCCCGGGCCCTTTGTCTGAATGGGGAGCACTGGGGATATGTGAGCCAAGAGGTGCTGAGGTCTCACTTAAACTAAAGGGTCTTTCTGGCTCGTGAACTGAAACCTGTGGGGGAGGCAGTCACAGAGCCAGGAGACCAGATAGGCAGCTCCCCTGGCTACCCGGGAGAAGCTGTTGCCGGGCTAGGTGGGGCAGTGGAGTCAGATGAGGATCTGGCCTTGGGTTTGAAGCTCTTGGAAGCCTTGAGTTGCTTCTCTAGTAGTCAGGACCCAAGATCTGCCTCTGTCTTCAGACAGAATGCGGCCAACTGGGCCTCCCCATAGGCCTCTGTGCTGGTCAGATCATGGCAGCCTCTTAGGACCTTTGTGAGCTTCTTGCCACGGCACTCTCCCTTGCGGAGAGTCTCCATGCTGGGAGAGACTTCTGGGCTTGTCCCTGCACCTTAACCAGCTGGTGTCACCTCAGAACACTTGTTCCCCTTAGAAGGGACCCAGAAAGGGCCCTGGGTGAGGGAGAGATGGGAAACCCTCTCAGCCACCCCACCCCTGTGGCTTCTCCTGGCAGGAAACATACTGGGGAGAAACCCTTTGAGTGTCCCAAGTGTGGGAAGTGTTACTTTCGGAAGGAGAACCTCCTCGAGCATGAAGCCCGGAATTGCATGAACCGCTCGGAACAGGTACTTGGGAGCTGGCCCAGGTACTTGTGGGCAGGGCACACTGGCCTCCCTGTCTTCGTGCCATCCGGGAAGGGCCCCAGGAGACTGAGAGGGGTACAGGGGTACTGTAAACTCAGGAAAGCTGTGGGGTCCTTGGATGTCATCAGGTCCATGCCCTGGTACAGGTGGGACACAGGTCCTGAGGGCGGAAGGGACAGGCATAGGAGGGACTCTGTGGGAGGCATTTGGGGTTGGCCTTTCTAGGCCCCTTGCCCACCTCCACCTTGGGCTTTGGAGAAGAGGAGCCTCTACAGGGAATGGCAGCTGGGAAAGGCCCCCTGGCCACCCCCAGCAACCCCACTGCTGGCTTCTGTGTCAGGGCCCGCTGAAACCCAGACCCACTCTTTCTAGAGGCCTGTCAGCAGCCACTGGGGCCGGGGACTGTGGGTGAGGCCACTCGGACCCTGCCCCCAGTCTGTCTGAGCCTGAGAAGGGCCTGGTATGCGGTGGGCTTGCAGCACTCAGTGACGGTCAGGCCAGGCAGGTTACCTGTTGCCCTCTCCCACCCTAGCATCCCCCCCTGCCCAGGCAGACTCTTTCCAGCAGCAAGCGGAAGCCCGGGCAGAGGCTGCTGTCACAGGCAGAGGCCCCCGCTGATGCCGGCCCTGCTTGCCCCTCACACTGCCAGGTCTTCACATGCTCCGTGTGCCAGGAGACATTCCGCCGGAGGATGGAGCTGCGGGTGCACATGGTGTCTCACACAGGGGAGATGCCCTACAAGGTCAGGCTTGGCCTGTCTCTAGGGCCGGGGGGGGTAGCCCCAGGATCCCTCCTGCTGAGCCCTTTATGTGGGGGTGCTATCAGGCACCTCCCTCACAGTAGCTGTCAGGGAGCCTGCCTTCCCTGCCTGTCCAGTGCCCCCTTATCTGGGCAGGATTGCTGGCTGCAGCCTCACCTCCAGGGTCCTTATTAGGCCCTTGTTTCTTTCCATGGAGGACAGGCTTGGCATCCTCTGGGCAGCTGAGCCCTGAGGGCCCTCCCTTGCGCCATCCTTCACACCAGATCAGGGTCCTCCCAGTAGCATCTCACTGGGGCCTCCTGTTCCCGCCCTACAGCCCAAGGGTGGGTGGCAGGGTTTCATGGGTGCAGGCTTCCCTGGAGGTGACTGTGGGCCTCTTTTTCAGTGTTCCTCCTGCTCCCAGCAGTTCATGCAGAAGAAGGACTTGCAGAGCCACATGATCAAGCTGCATGGAGCCCCAAAGCCCCATGCAGTAAGTGACAGGCAGGGCTGGGCATGTTTTGATGCTGGCATGAGCAAGAGTGAGCTGTGCCCAGAGGGGGGAGGGGGCTTGTGGGTCTCTCAGGCAGCCCTTCCCTATTCTCACCCTGGCCCTGGTCCCTCCCTCTGCCTGCCTGGTCTGCCTGCAGTGCCCCACCTGTGCCAAGTGCTTCCTGTCTCGGACAGAGCTGCAGCTGCATGAAGCTTTCAAGCACCGTGGTGAAAAGCTGTTTGTGTGTGAGGAGTGTGGGCACCGGGCCTCAAGCCGGAATGGCCTGCAGATGCACATCAAGGCCAAGCACAGGTGTGTGTCGCCTGTTCACTCCTGGGGCCCAGTCCTGCTGCCAGCCCAGGCTTGCACCGGCAGGGAAGACAGTTTGCTGACTTTTACACAGATGAGTGTGCCCTCGGCCTCCACCCTGAATCTGGTGCCTACAGCCTCTCTGGAGTAGTGGGACCTGAAGGGCAAGCGGCTATGCCAGGCAGAGAGGCTGGGGGCACTTGTTTGAGGCTCAGACAAGCCTCTGTGCCCCCGGGGCAGATTCTGAGCTTCCTTAGTTTCTTGTGATTCCCTGCTCCCAGGTTGTCCTGCTCTGGGGTGGAGGTGGTGCCCCTTTCCTAGCACTGCCCAAGCCCTCTTTCCACCAGCCATGCTCCTAGCTGTAGCAGAGCGAAGGGGGTCACTTCCCTTGGTGATGGCCTCTGCCCTATGTCCCCACCCTAACAGGAATGAGAGGCCACACGTGTGTGAGTTCTGCAGCCACGCCTTCACCCAAAAGGCCAATCTCAACATGCACCTGCGCACACACACGGGCGAGAAGCCCTTCCAGTGCCACCTCTGTGGCAAGACCTTCCGAACCCAAGGTGAGGTACGCCCCGCCCCTCCCCTCCCCAACCCCATCCCGAGGCAAGGCCCCAGGCTGAGCTCTTGCCTTGTGCCTGCAGCCAGCCTGGACAAGCACAACCGCACTCACACCGGGGAAAGGCCCTTCAGTTGCGAGTTCTGTGAACAGCGCTTCACTGAGAAGGGGCCCCTCCTGAGGCACGTGGCCAGCCGCCATCAGGAGGGCCGGCCCCACTTCTGCCAGATCTGCGGCAAGACCTTCAAAGGTACCTGGGCGACCCTGGGAGAGCCTTTTCCTGCTCATCTGAGTTGGAGGGTCTCTGAGGAGGAAACGCTCCTTTCTTGCCAGTGAACCTCTCTGGTGCCCCACACGGTAGTGTTGAGAGTGGACCTGCTTCGAAGGCAGGGGTGTCCTGTGCAGTAGTGACCCTGGGTGGCACTGGAGAGCCTGGCAGGGCCTGTGTGGCACTTTTAAACCACTGGCCCCACGTACTGCAGAAAGAACCCCATGCCCATGGCTTGGTCCGCTCCCTTGCTGCCTGTCCCGACCTCCTGCTGGGCTTCCTTGAGGGTCCCGGGGCTCCTGCACGATCCCCTCCGTGGTGTTCTCCCTCCCGCAGCCGTGGAGCAACTGCGTGTGCATGTCAGACGACATAAGGGGGTGAGGAAGTTCGAGTGCACCGAGTGCGGCTACAAGTTTACGCGGCAGGTAGGCCAGGCCCTAGGCCCCTTCCCCTCCCCCAGGATCCCCCGAAGTCCTGAGCTCACCTTCCCCGCCAGGCCCACCTGCGGAGGCACATGGAAATCCACGACCGGGTGGAGAACTACAACCCGCGGCAGCGCAAGCTCCGCAACCTGATCATCGAGGATGAGAAGATGGTGGTGGTGGCGCTGCAGCCGCCTGCGGAGCTGGAGGTGGGCTCGGCGGAGGTCATTGTGGAATCCCTGGCCCAGGGCGGCCTGGCCTCCCAGCTCCCAGGCCAGAGACTGTGTGCAGAGGAGAGCTTCACCAGCCCAGGTGTCCTGGAGCCCTCCCTCATCATCACAGCTGCTGTCCCCGAGGACTGTGACACATAGCCCACTTTGGCCACCAGAGCCCACTTGGCCCCACCCAATAAACCGTGTGGCTTTGGACTTGCGTATTTCAGCCTGACAGTCTCTTCAGTGTCCTGGAGTTGGGGAGGTGCTGCCTTCCCACCCATGCCCTCAGGACAGAGTGGTGTCCTGCCCGGTCCTGTGTGGGCCTCAGCTCAGCTGGCAGCTTTCCCTCCTGTCAGGAAACAGCTGAGTGAGGCTTGGATGGGGTTCCTTTGGGGACCAAACCTCTGGCCTTGGCTGCTCTCCACATCTATATTATGTTCCTTGTTATTGCAAGATTTTACAGTGGGGTCCAGATAGAGCTCTAGTATTCCTAATTTAGAGCTGAGGTGATGCCAGCTTCTGGGGATAGAATTCATTACTAAGGGCCGGGCGCGGTGGCTCAAGCCTGTAATCCCAGCACTTTGGGAGGCCGAGACGGGCGGATCACGAGGTCAGGAGATCGAGACCATCCTGGCTAACACGGTGAAACCCTGTTTCTACTAAAAAGTACAAAAAAACTAGCCGGGCGAGGTGGCGGGCGCCTGTATTCCCAGCTACTCGGGAGGCTGAGGCAGGAGAATGGCGTAAACCCGGGAGGCGGAGCTTGCAGTGAGCTGAGATCCGGCCACTGCACTCCAGTCTGGGCAACAGAGCGAGACTCCGTCTCAAAAAAAAAAAAAAAAAAAAATTCATCACAAAGCTTCTGGAGTTCGGTAGAGGGATCAGGACCCATGGGGCTGGCCTTGTTGGGCAGAATCAAGGATTGGGCCCAGTTAGTGTAGCTAAGCACACCTGGGGGCCTGAGGAGGGTGGGGCCCTTCCCTCAAGAGCAGCCTGGTCTGTGTGTCCAGGAGGCTTTGGTTCCCCACGTTCTACAGCTGTGGGGTACTATGTGTCAAGGAGCAAATGCATGTGGGCCCTAGAGCAGATTGCTTATGTTTAAATTTCTTCCTAAGTTGGCCCTGGGTAAGTTACTGACAGTTTCATTTCTCTACTAAAAATACAAAATTGCTGGGTGTGGTGGCGCATTGGGAGGCTGAGGCACGGGAATCCCTTGAACCTAGGAGGTGAAGGATACAGTGAGCCGAGATTGTACCACTGTATTCCACCTGGGCAACAGAATGAGACCCTGTTTTAAAAAAAAAAAAAGAAAAAAAAAGTCCACTGCGGTCTCAACACTGCTCCCCTTCCCAGCCAAGACACTGGCTTCTCCCTCAGGTTCAGACGGACTCTGCAGATGTGAAAAACATCCTGAGCCAGACAGCTTTTTTGGAATCACAGCCTGGTTTGGGACTGTATTTGAAGGGCTCCACCTCCCCAGGTCCAAAGGCCATCCCATTGCAGATGGGAGTCTCACCACTACCTGTATGTACCGCAACCTCAGGAAGGGCTGTGGGAGCTGGGCCCGGGTCGAGGACACACGGGCAGAGACCAGCTTTGGAGCAGGCAGGTTTGCCGGGCATCATCCACGCCACAGCATTTACTTCTCAAGCCTCTCCTCTCTTTAAATGGAGACAAGGTCTTCCTGTATTGCCCAGGGTGGTCTTGAACCCCTGGACTCAAGTGATCCTCCCTCCTCAGCCTCCCAAAACACTGGGATCTCAGGTGTGAGCCACCACACCCTGCCTCTCGGGCATGTCTTTTGCACTGCTTCATCTCTTGCTACAGTCTGAGATGAGAAAGGGCCTGGAAGGCTTTTTAAGACCCTCAGTGTGAGCCCTGGACTCCATGCTGCCTATTCCCCCGACATCTGGCCTCAGCCCAAAGGAGTCCCAGAAGACAGGAGCAGGAGGACAAAGGCAGTGACCCCAAATGGATAGGAAATACTTTTATTGCAAAAAGTACTGAAGGTACCCCAAAACTTTAAGCAGGATTCTGGACATGGAAGCCTACAGAATAGACAAAAATAAATATGTCAACTTGCCCAATCCTCTGGGGTGAACTGGATGTGGACACTGGAGGGAGGGTGTCCTTTATTACATACGCGTCTCTGAAGTCATATAAATATAGAATACCTTATAGTAGATCAGCATTAAATACCAGTCACTGTGTTTACATAACTTAATTTGTGCTGTAGACAAAATTCTGTACACGTAACACGTGGCCATGCCCAGGCTTCCCAGCATCTGTCCTGAAGTCAGTGTGAAGACATCCTTAAGTGGTGGGGACATCACAGCCCAGAACCCACAGCACAGGGGAGCTGGGGAGAGGAGAGGGCCTGACCTTGGATCCACCTTGACCAAGGTCCAAGGTGACCTTGGACACCCAGCTGGTGTCCACAGGCTAGAGGGACCCATTGCTGCAGAGGCTGGTGCCTGCTCTTCCCCATACTTGGTCTTCCAAACCCAAAGACGGGGTCCTGATGGTGGAAACCTGGGCAGGTCTGGAGGACAGACACAGGAGAGGGCACAATCCCAAACCCAGCTCTCCTGCACTAGCTCGCACCACAGCCCCTGTCTAAGTGGCCACCACAGGCCTGGAGTACGGCAGCTGCCAACCACAGCAAAGCCGCAAAGAGTGAGTGAGAAAACAGGAACCCAGAGTTCTCTTCCACAGAGGCAAGGCCTCACAGCCCAGCCCAGCCCGAGATGCCCTGTGCTAGCAGTCATCACACAGTCTGGACAGCATGTCCTTCCTTGGGTGCCGAGCTCAGTGCCTGGGACAGTCAGGGATTGAGGGCATAGCCAACCTTGTATGGCCAAACCCAGCCCTTATGCCCCTGCTGCCAAGGGAGACGAGCTGCCCCACTGAGCTCCAACAACCTCTGGATGGGCTCAGCAGCCCCCTAGGAAGTTAAGTGAGTGCTACAGGGCAGGGAAGCTCCCTGAGGAAGTTTGCACAGACCAGGAGAGTCCACAGGGTAGCCCCAAGGGAGCAGAGGAAGGAGGAGGGCAGGAAAAGGCCCAGGGCACAGGGCAAGCAACCGTGCCAGAGGGCGCCTGGTCACAGGAAGCCCAGCTGCATGTTCCACGCTGCCCACAGGACTCCCAGCCAGGTCCCAGCAGGCCTGGACAGTGCTGGGCCTCCATCCTCGGCCTTCCCACCAGCACCTGGTACACAGCAGGTGCTGAGAGATGACCATGACTCAACGGAGAAGATCCGCCACGAACTGTAACCACACCAGCCAGGGTGTTCTAGGACAAGACTTTCTAACCCGACAGCAATGACATCCACAGTGTATGGACTGGACTCTTCAGGAGCACGAGGGAGAGGCCAGGCAGCCCTGTCAGGTGTCCCCTAGCCCTTCCTAGGGGACATATTAAGGTAACCAGCCATGCCATCTGGCCAGCACAAGGGTCTTAAGTGCAATCTGCTAAGTGACAGTGCTAAGACTGTCTTCCTGCTGAGAACATCTCTACAAGTTAGTTCACTAGAAAAGGCAACACACATTTGCTTTAATCTTCTTTAACGAGGAAGATGCAGTGTAAACGCCCTCTCCTCTGAAAAGGGAGGCAAGGACAAAAACTCAAGCCAAGGCTACTTTGGGTACTTTGAGGGGAAACTGACCATTTCTAAGAGAAAACCAGGGGCTGCCAAGCTGCGGCATTCGCCCGGGAGCTCCTGCAGAAAGCTTTGGCAATAGGACTTTCTAGACTTGAAAAAAGGAACAAAGCTGACCCTGTAGAGCTCCCTCTTCTTCCCACTTCTTCTTCTAAGGTCAAACTGCAAGCATTTTCAACTTTGGAACCAACTACCAAGGCCACCTCCTACCCAGGACTTCCTTTGGAAGCGGTGGGACTCCTCATGCGCAGGCCCAGCAAGGGCTCGGGCACCCACAGCTGTCTGCTTGGCTGGGTGTCAATGACCGCCTCCCAGGGCCTCCTGGGAAGGAGCTATGACCTGGCGCTGAAACCTCCCCTGGGCTTCTGTCCCAGGCCGGTGAAGGAGAGGGTGAGAGGTGAGGACACAACAGCTAGTTGGGGCGGGAGCGGGGGACTATGGCTGGGGAGGTCCAGCATCTGATATGGCCACATCCTCTTCACCCTCCCAGCCCACACCCTTGCTCATGTCCCACTGTCCTGGGTGCAGCCTCTGGAGACCAGCACTCCGAGGTGTTTTGAAGCAAGCCCTTGGGAGGGGCCAGGAGCTAGGGAGGCAGGCTCCCCACACCTCTGGATGTGGAATTTGGGACCCCACTTTAGTCTCTGCCTGGTGCCTGGTCCGCTGCTCCAGGTTCAGGTCATCCTCAGCCTCATGGGAGGACCCCTCCTCCCTTCACGCATCCCTCCCAAGTTGTCCTCCTCTCCCAGCGTGGGAGCAAGTAGGTGCAGATGACAGCAGCAGGAGGGGTGTGCGCCGCGTGGGTGAGCTGTGATCCGCAGGGTGGGGGTGACCTCCAAGACCCAGAAACGTGCCAGCAGGAAAGTAGCTCTTCCTCAACTGTGGGAAGGGCGTTCCCGATGGCCTCAGATCAGGCTTTCAAGGCACAGAAACCTTCCAGGTAATGGATCCTGGGCTTGCTCGGCCACCCAAGAGCCTGTGCTCCTCCTGTGAGCCCAACCTGTCCTTGTGCACAAAGGAGTGGGGCACTGCCCCGCAGAGGTGCCAGTTACCTGCACCAAGGCCCATGCAGGGCCAGACCGGGGCTAGTGCAGCTCGTCAGGGTCCCGCGGCGGCCGGGGTCGGCCCGGGTCCATGTCATTGCTGCCACTGTCCAACTCGAAGCCGCGCCCACCTGAGAAGGTCTGGGGCATGAACTGGCGGAAGATGCTGACGCTGCCATGCCAGAAGGTGGGTTCCGGGAGCCGCCCCACCACGCTCCATGCGCGAGTCTCTGGGTCATAGGCCTCTACCACGTCCGAGAGTTCAAACGTATTGTCATATCCCCCAGAGACGTACAGCTTTCCCCCAAGGACGGCCAGGCTGCCCCCAACGTGCACCTGTGGGTCAAAGGGATGAGTGAGTGGAGGTCAGAGGAGGGGGTAGGGCAAGGCCCCACCTGGGGAACCACTGGAGACAAGGCTTCCCTGTCAGCACCCCATGGGGTGGCCTTGGCTCTCCCAGAAAGCAGCAGAGGCCAACTCCTTTCCCACACCCTGCCTAGGAGAACAGGCCTCCCCGG